TTTTGCCATAAAAAGTATCCTTTTGATACGGGAATCATCCCACTGAATATTTAAATATTCTAAACAGTCCTTCAAAGACAATAATTAAAAAAAAAAATTAAAATGCTTGGAATCATCAATATCAATTACTCAAAACCTAAAGGCCAACACTAAACATAGACCACACATGTTAACGTTGTTTTACTTGAGTTTGAGGCATGAGTTCCTTAAGTGACAAGCAAACCATTCAAAAGCAAAACACTTTCTGTAAATAACTTAATACATACCCCCATCATAAATACTACGTCTCATTCTAAATATAAAAATTAGTTGATTAATTTGAATAGATTAAAAAAGTTAAATTAGTTATTTGTAATAAATATATGTTATTTTTTTATAAAATATCCTTGCTAATCAAGTTATTGACTATAACTACTATTATTAAAAAGACTATTTTGAAAAAAAAGGGATAAATATGATAGACAAAGTGGATTAAGAGCTTATATTTAGCACTAAGATAAAAATCAAACGAGGTCTTATATTAAGAATTAGAGGTAGTACAAGCTAGTAAAGAGACTTATTGTGATCCAAAATATGAAATTTTAATTTATTTTATCTCTTAAATTTATAATTTTTTTGACCATTTCTGTTAGTTACACATATTAAGAGAATTTTCATTAACGAAGTAACTTCTGGTGTAAATAATTAAAAATAATATTCTTAAAAAAATCAACACATATATTTTTATAAGTAACTAAGTTAATTTTTTCAATTTTTATAAATTGGTTATTTGATTTTTATATTTATGAACAAGACCAATAACGAAATAGTGGTTTTCCTCCGTGTAGTTCCAACAATAAGTTTGCTATCATACACTACTTTAAGATAAAATATATAAAAAGGTGAAAAGAGACAAAGAAGATGAAAGGAAAATTAAACTTTGACATAACAATAGAATTAAAGGAAAATGCCAAAGAGAGTCACATCCACACTATCACCACATGGTGTTAATTTGAGTGAACGTAGTTGTCTTGGCCCAATAATTTCCAACAAAGAAGTTATAAACATTAAAGCAATCTCTATTATCCACAGTGCCCTTTCACCTTTTTTATTTTTTTAGGGCCAATAGCTTTTTTTATGGGGCTAATAGTTTTCTTTCGTTCATTGTTTTCTTTACACTTTTCTTATCTCCTCGGTTTTCCTAGACCTTTCTGCCACGGAAGTCAATTCTGGGAGTGTTCAAAACAAAATTGAGTTTCACCAAAGTGGGAAAAAAGTTGAGGTGTTTTTGTTAATGTGGTTCGACCCAACTCGCAATATAACGTTAGGTGACAATTTGGGCCAATAGCCCATGTCCTGGATTCTGGTAGGCCTGACAGATTGGATTAGTTAGGTTCGCTATGTTTTAAATTTTAAAAGTTTGGTAGTTTTAAGGCTTTTATTTGAATTGAATGGATAAATTAATAAAGTAATAATAATGATGATGTGCGGGGAAAAAAAATACTCATCCGGTCCTAAATATAAAACCTATTTTGTAGTGTAAATTACACTACAAAATGAGTCTTATATTTAGGATCGGAGGGAGTATAATGTCTTCGTTCTTTGATAATCAATAAGGATTAAAAATGTAATTTAACAATATAATAGATTTGTTTTAAAGATGGATAAGAGGTAGTTAGAAATGCGTTACAATGAAGGAAAAGTAGTTAGGCCCAATTTTTATATTCATTATGTCAATTCTTTAATTACATATCACTTGCATCTTTTTTTTCCATATAAATTTATACTCCCTCCGTTTCTTATTATAAGAGACATTTGATGCTTATAGCATATTCCTATATATAAGAGACACTTAAAAGTTGTTTCTACTTTTTTGTGTTGATTTTTTATTTTACCCATATTTATTATTTCCAACTCACACTCTCTCTCCCTCCCACTTCTCTTTCTTTTAATAGTTTAATTGTTCTCTCTCATGCTCTCTCTCCTTATTAATGAGGATATTTTTAGAAAAAAAATTACACTTTTTACACATTAATTGTTCTTAACTAATTTTAACTATTTTTTTATCAACGTACTTAGGTTATTTGTCTCTTATAATAAGGAACAGAGGGAGTAATTAAATGATAGTATTTTAAGAATAAGACACATGCCCACATGTAATAAGAAAACTTGACATAATAGATATAAGAAATTTGATATAAATATTATTCAGATGAAAAGGGTATCAACTTAAAAGTATTCTTCTAATAGTACCAGGCATCATAAAATAAATTTCTTTGTGGAATTTTGCTTTCTCAATTATTTTCTTAAAAACATTCAGCATTTTAAAATAGTTTTTGGTATAACATTACTTTTAAAGTATTTTCTCAGTAACACTTAAAAGTAATTTTCAGTGTAATTTTATTCTTATAGTATTTTCTGAATAACACTCAACATACTTAACAGTTTTCAACAAGTATTCCCAAGGTTTGCTTTCTTCCTCTTTTCATTTGCCCTCTCCTTGATATATATTATGCAGATTGTTTCATGTCTATTTTTTTGCAGATTCACCACGTTGTTTCCATGAGACATAAATGCGCAGATTTTCTTTTTATTGTCTTATTTTTCTCTCTCTCTCTGAAATCACATCATTAAGTCAAGATTGAAATATGAGGTGAGATCATATCATAAGATGGTCACAAACAAAGGTCCACAAAATGTGTGAGGACAACCAGCAACTTGTCTATCTGAAGAACAAGTTTGTAAAAGAATAAAAGCATGCATAAGTAGCTCTTGAAGAATAGTATGTTTTCATTGTTCTTTGAATGATAAATTGGAAGGTTACATTATTATACCTCTTGCAATGTAATTATAGTAAAATTGCTCCATCTCTTATAGGTTAATGTTGCAAAATATTAAAGGATCTCAAACATTAACCCACCTAATATCTTATTCGTGATTCTTGAGTTTACAGTAGACTAGAATTGTATTTTTTTCCTAACTTCCAATCACAACTTGTTCTTTATAAGAGAGTAGAACTCTTAGGATGTGTTTGGTATGAGGGATTTGAAAGGGAGGGGAGAGAGTGGGAAGGATTTTAATCATTTTTTTCTTGTTTGGCAACACACAAATTTTAGAACGGGAGGGAAAATTTAAAAAAAATTTAATTTTTCCTCCCTTCCCCTCCTCAACCTCTCCTCCAAAGTTGTGAGGATTTGGGGGGAAATGGTAATATTTTGCCATGTTGTGACCATTATGCTCATATTTTGTTATGTTGTGATTATTATGCCCATATCTTAAATAAAATAAGGGCAAAACTGTTCATGTTAAAATATTTTTCTCCCCTCCTTTCATGAACCAAACAAGGTAATATTAAAACTCATCCTCTCCCTTTTTTTTTTTTTTAATAAATCCAAACAAAGTAATATTAAAACCCTTCCACTCTCTTTTCCTCCCATTCTCTCCATTAAAATCCCTTCCCTCTCTTCCCTCTTATTGAGCCAAACAGACTCTTAAGAAACAATGACTCCTTTTCACATTTGGCTTAATGATCCGTGATTCATAGATGCAACTTAAAAAATTACATTATAAACTAAATCTTATATTTAGAACCAGGAGTAGTACAACCTCCGATCCTAATTATAAGAGTTAGTTGACTAATTTGAGGAGATTAAGGAAATAGGTTGAGTTAGTTATTTGTCCTAAATATGTATTGTCTTTTTTAAAATATCCTTGCTAATCAAATGTATTGACTAGAACTCTTATTATTAGAAGGGCTACTTTGGAAAAAATGTATAAATATGAGAGACAAGGTGGATTGAAATTTTATATTTAGGATCAAAATAAAAGTCAAATAGGGTCTTATATTAAGAACCGGAAGTAGTATAATAGAAACTCCTCCGGTACACCCCTTATGAAGGTTCTTGAAAAAGAAAGAGAGTGCCTTCATTTTGGAATAGTGCCAAATATCTGAGGAAAATGTTTCTGTTTCGTAAATTTCAAGCTGATTGGAAAAATACGTGGTAATTAATGTTTAACATTATGAACGCCGAAAAGCCAAAACTAAGTTGAAGCATTTTCAACTATTTTGGGTCTACACCAAGCTCTTATGTTATTATGACGAGCGATTTTTCATGGACTTAATGTGATTTCTTGAAGTGAACCCTTTGAATCAATGATTCCACCAATGGCTATTGTGTATTACTACTATTATTTTCTAATATAAAAGTTAAAAACTAGTTTAACGTTTTAATTTGATCGTAAATACAAAATTCTAATTCATTTTTTTCAAATATAGTATTTATTTCTTTTATTCCTAACTAATTCTCACTTGAAAGTAGTTTCACCACACATGATTGATGGGTATTTAAAAAAAAACATCTATTTATTAAAATAACTAACTTAACTAATTTTTTAATATCTTTAAATTAATTATACAACTCGTATATGAAAAACCGGGTATAAAATATGTTATTGTTGTAATGTTTAGTTGGAGGGGAGCCAAAACCTCCTCTCTTCTCTTCTCCTTTTTTTTTTGGCTTCTCTTTAAGTTGGGGGCTTTTGATAGTAGTTAAATATTAATTATTTTGTGTAATATTTTATTAATGTTCATCAGAAAAAATTATAAAATTAAATCCCTCAATTGTTTCACAATACAAAATAATTTAAGATAAAAACAAAAATTTCCTGATTATCTTGTCTTCATAATTTATATGATATTTTATTTTTAAAACATATTATTATATTAATTCCAAATAAAAATCATTATTACCTCGATGATTTACTTGCACATATTAATATGTTGGGATGAGAATGAATTTCAATAAATTATACAATTTAAATTTAAATGTAAATTAATTTATATAACATATAAATAAAAAATATAAATTAATGGATGAGGGTAGAATGTTCTGACAAAAAAAAAAAGGGTTGGAAGCCACTATGCAGTTAATCTAAGCTGGATTTTATCCCTTTCGTGTATAATTAATCAATCAATCAATCACTTCTTCTTGGAAGGAGTTAATCACAGGACAGTTCATCTCCTGCGAGACGCGAAACGTCTTGGGTCTAGCCGAATATTTTTTAGGTCATATTCAAATTCCGTGATCGGAGATGGAACATCAAACCTGAGTTGGGTAATGGCTACGATGGGATTAATTGAGAGCCCAGAAGTGGGCAAAGCAGAGAGGATGATGATGGAGGACAAGCTCACTAGTCTCCCCGATGAAATTCTTCAACACATTCTCTCCTTTCTCGATACGAAGATGGCAGTTCAAACTAGTGTTGTGTGCAAGAGATTGAGGTACCTCTGGGTTTCCCTTCCCGTTCTCAGCATCGATAGTGAGTCCTTCCGTTATTACTCTTCCTTCTCCGATTTCGTCCTCTCTGTTCTTTCTCGCAAGGACGCCTCTAGCAACATTTGCAAGTTCTGGTTCGACATATCTAACCCCATCTACTCTTCAATTCAAATGTGCATAGATAGCCATGATTTGTTTGAGCCTCTTGTGAAGAGGGTCATCGATCATGTTGTCGATCATGGGGTTCAACATTTGAGCTTCCATTTTCCTCGCATTGTGGATGAATTGCCCCGGCTTTTCTATTGCCAATCCTTGAAAACCCTTGAATTGCTTGAAATAATTATTCCGCCCAACACAAATTTGGATTTTCATACCTTGACTAGTTTGCATCTTGTGAAATGCTCCTTTATATTGGATGGGGAAGGTACCTTGGATCCTTTTCAATGTTGTTTCAATTTGAAAAATTTGGTGATAAGTGATTGTCGAATTCCGTCTAGAGTTAAAAGTTTTGAAATTTCTGCACCTCAGCTCACGAACTTGACTATATCAAGGATGGAACATGTTCGAAATCTTAATCCACACTGTAAGATTGTTCTCACTTCAACAAAAATAGCATCTTTCAAATTTGTTGAGTCCCACATCCTCGAGTTCTCCATTCCTGCACTTCCCTTCATTGAGAGTGTGGATGTTGATGCTGTTCTAGCTGATTATCTATTTGGTAACGAGGGATTGGCAAAAAGAAAGTTCGTTTCTCATTTGATTGAAATGCTTCGGGCAATTGGTGGTGCAGAGATTGTGGGGTTATCTTTTGAAACTTTAACTGTGAGTGTAACATGCTCTGCTCACGTCCTTTTTTTTTCTTTTTAATGGTCTGATTTTTTGTTTGTTTGTGGTATGGTGGAATTCTTGCTCTTTGATTGTGCAGATGCTTTCCAAGTTTCCTGATGTTCTGCGCTGCCCTTCTCTTTTTAGTAGAATGAAGGTTTTAAAAGTTAAAGTGCCACATGGACCCAGCTCCTTCACCATTCCTGACAAGATCATAACCTCACTTTTCAGTGGTTCTCCAACTAAAGATTTCAAGGTGGAACACCTTAAGGTACTTGTTGAACCCTAAACGATGTCCCTCCCCTCCCTCCAAAAAACCCATCGTTATGAACATATTTAAGCGTTTTTGTAGATCTTGTGACGGCATCCTGAAATTTGTTATAGTTCAACATTTATCATCATCATCATCATATGTTACATGAGAAGCAAAAATAGTTTATACGTGATGCTAACTTGGAATAACTTATCTAACTCAGCTGGAGTTATTTACCATCTCCACATGCATTGATATCTGTTTTGGTACGTTGTATATACATAATTCCGTGTAGGAAAATTCCATGAAATAATGCACCAGTTCCCTACTTCGCTGGCTGTGACCATTTCATGAGGACATACCTGTTGGTAGATGCTAAGCTGAGTTGTAGTACATTTTAAGTGCTGAAGAACATTTTGTAAACCTGATGTGGAAATGCAATGGCAAATTTGATCTCATTCACAATTTGTGCCTTTATGACAGAAGCAACAAGGAAGAGCACAAGAGAGGTTAAATATCTGATTTTGGTGAATTTATAAGGTACAGAGCTGTCTATAGTCTTAATATCTCTTTTCATGGTATTGGTTTTGTAAGTGAAATCCTTGGCGATAAAACCAACTAGTTAAATCTAAGGATCCATTATTGATTAACCACTTTCTAAACTGCCAGTTTGGATGCGTTAACATGATAGGTCTATAAATGCTTATGATTCCAATTATGCCAATGAAATCAATCATATGGTGGCAAAGACCGTCCTAAAAATTGATAACTTTGTAGAATGAAGGTCAAAGATATTTATATAGTCTACTGTGCTTGTGTGGTTTTCCTTGAATGTCCCATCTAATATATATAGACTCATTTCTTTAGTGTAAACTACTCTAATATGAATATTTATACCAAAATCTAAAACTGGTTGGATTGATAAATTCAAGATACCTAGGCCAATTTGCAGGGCATGGAGAATGGCTATTTGGGTATTACGTCGTGTTTAATGAAGCTTACTTTGATTATGGGTTCATGGGCAAGGAGTTTGGCAAGGGCGCTCTTTATCCCTGTCTACTCGTCTTTAGTGGGGGATGTATTATGACTATGCGGCAATTGATGCTCGTTAGAGATCCTTATGGAGGAAATTAAGGTAGGTTATGAGGATAATGTAGCGTCTGATCTTAAGTTTATGGGAATGGGAAGTGGAAAGGGAAAGGTAATATGCTTTGCTTGGATGGATTTTCTGGGCACATAAGCTTGTTTGGTATGGAAAGAGAGGTCATAATAGGAAAGGAAATAAAAGCGAGAAAAAACACAAATGGCCCTCAACTCCGCAAGAGGAGTGCACAGCAGAGGCATTTGATGACTCTTTCATTGTTTCCTCATTCTGTATCATGGGAAGAAATCAATCTATGTAGATTAATAAAATGGGCAGCATAATAATAATCTGCTTGATGATTAGAGGTTTTGTTTTGCTCAAAAATAATCAATAAAGCTGTAAAAAAAAAGAGGATTTTTTATGCCCAGATTTCAGCATGCCTTTTTTAATCCACACATGAATACAACCATTCCATTCACCATGGTGTCTTTGTCTTTGAACCCACTGATAAGGATTAGAAAAGAAAAGGGAAACAAGAAGGGAGTAAGAGAAGAGAACAATGACAATATATTTAGAAGACCATGTTCAATGATGACAACGCAGGTGATGATGTTGAACTACGAAGGGCAATATTGTCACTAATCTTGGTTCCCAGAAATAATGGGCTTTTCCTCAACTTTGTTAGAGGAATGCTCCTTCCCTTGAATGATGGAAGCTGAGTTTCTCAGGAAAGATTTGTCACACCTGCCAATCATGTCAAAATGAGCCTTCACTCATCCTTTCTGGTTTCCTAGCTCCCTTTCCCCCCTACCAAACATAGTCCTAGTGTTCCAACCTTATTGGAATATCGTGTCAAAGTAGACTAATTTTGTAGAAGGTTATTCTGGCTTTGAGGGTGTGAGATGGCTAGGGAAAGCTCCAACGAGTTGGTTTTGGGATTTCCTAAAGGTTTGAGAGGAAGGGTTTGTCTAAGATTCTGAAAAGCCTACTGAAGTCTACAAAAAGAATTTTGCTGAGGCAATGCTGGTGAAAACTAGGCTACCTACCATTTCCTGAGCTGTTAAGATGAAATCTTACATATCGAGCATGAAATTACAAGTATCTTGGGATGGTGATGAGGCCATTATAACGTATAATGACAGAAGTTATATTATCAGATATGACAGTAGCTCTCCATCTAGGGAAACCCATTCAGTTATTTAAACCCTGTTAAGAGATAAATAAAGGAGTTTTCAGTTGCAAAAGATGGGCCCTTAACGACCAGAAATAAGAGGAATCCCGTAAGTTTGAAAGTTTGGTTTTCCGATTGTTATCTCTTGACAGCACAAGGAATGGTAGAGAATGATGGGAATTTATGTTTTTCTTTCTCTCACATGAAGTGCAACTTGAGTATCAGAAATAGATATTCCCAATAGAGTCACTTTCATAGCTTCTCTGCAGTAGGTGGGGATCTACTTTTCACTTCAAGGATGACATTGTATTTCGGCACAGAAATTACAACTTGGGCGTCTCCTTCCATATCAAGTGGGGATTTATTTTCCATTTGGGTGGGAAATTTTTCTGAGGCAACTAGGGGAGAGGAAAATGTAAAAAGTTTGTACAAATTTTATGCAGTGTTTTGGTATTTTGTTCTTGTTTCATTTAATTAAATATATAAAAATAAAAAATATATATTTATATCATATCAAACACAATTTAGGATCAGTACATTCGTTTCTATTTGATTCCATTCCTTTCTGTTTTCTTTCTCTTAATGTGTGTCAATATATATATATATATATATATATATTTGTGTATGTAACCAAATGGGCCGTGATTTCATCTGAGTGGCAATACTCGGTATAATTTACACGAATGACATGCTGCAAATTTGTAACTTTACAAAAAATTGTTTGGGTCTCAGATTAGAATTCAGTTCAGCCACTGGATTCATAGCATCTTCTCCGTATATGGTTCAAAGGGTTTTGCAGGACAAAGGGGCGTTGATCTTTTTTTGGATAATCTTTTTTAGTGAAAAAAAGATCGGCTAGATTTAGTGATTTACAGTAGGAATGCGTTCTTTTGTTAAAGGGGAGACCTTTTGATGCCTAAGTATCATTATATGCCTTGATCCTTTTCCACGAACGACATTGACCTTAGTCTCAGATATTGAGGAAAATGAAGAAATGCTGAATGTGAGCACGTTTATTGCATAATTTTCAATAAAGAGAATTTGAAATATTTATAAACTATCTGCAACAGGCAATCTTAAGTGGTTTAAGATCTTTATCCGCATATATGAGGAGAATGACTTGGTTGCTGTCTTATTTTTGCTCTGTATATATAATTAAAGCGAGCCATATGCATTTATATGGAGTTTGAAAGGAGTCGCACTATTTTTTCTTTTGGGAACGGGAGTCGCACTATTCAAGACTTGTGAATATTGCAGATATCTTGACCTGTATTTTGTATGACATTGTGTGATTGAAAGACCCATTCAAAGTGTATGTGGAGCCTCATATTATCAGGGCTGGGCATTTGATATGAATTATTCAATCTACATTTGGTTTAATCTCCTTAACTTGAGCTTCATCTTTTCTCGGTCCTGTGGCTAAGTCCCTTTATAATTTCTTAACTGCTTGATCATATACCATAATACTTGGGAAAGTTTATTAACCTTAGTTGTACCTGTCTTCTGTAGGAGGAGGTATGTTTTGGATTTGAAAATCTTTCAGTAAACTTCTGTCAAATAATTTGCAATTAGCATATAGATATTTAGCATGTATCTTTGAGCTTTCTGTAAGTGTATCAAATTGATATGCCGCCGTGTACATTTTAAGCGAAAATGCTGCATATTAGCATGCTCAATTTAAAAATTATTGTTATGTTGGATCATGCTTGTTTAAGAATAATGATGTATTCTATGGAGTCAAGCAGAAATCATTCAAACTCTATCCTACTGAAATCTATAATTTCGGCCCGTGTAATATTTTTGTAATTGACCATGGGATGGCATAACTTCTCAGAGTTGACATTCTAGTAGCACGAATTCTCTGAAGGAAAGATCTGTGAAATCTTCTGAAAATTACCTAATCCAGAAAGGCGAGATTTTCATTAAAAAAAAAAACAAAAATTCATCAAATTTCAGAAAACTTTATAAATCCTTAATCAGATGATTCATTCCCCATCTTTGCATACTGATTTGGGTGATGTTCTGGTTGTGTAGGTGGAAGATGTAGTTCCAAAAGTTGGCTTCATAAGTCCAGTCCAACCATCTAAAGAGGTGGAATGATGACTGCTTGGGAAATCAATAATTTGGATGGTGATTCTCAAACAAAGTAGTTCCATTATGAGCAACACTGTGCTTTGGGCTAAAGTTTGTTTTGGTGATGCCATGACTATGCAGGTAGGAGCTAAGGATTATAGGGTTATTATTGCACTTTGTATTGTGTGCCTGCTGATGCTGATAATAGTGCGAGGAAGAGCAGAAATCAACACTTGTTCAATTTTTCTCTCTCTCTGTTTTCTGGTTTTCTTTTGTGTTTATTTGTGTGTGTGTGAGAGAGAGGTAAAGTTATCAACTTTACTTGCAGAACATCAGAGATGCAATCATCGGCTACATGATTGATAAGATTAAAAAATAGCAACTTATGCTTAACCCATCACGATTTATATAAACCAGATAGAGCAGCATAACAAAAATTCAAGAGGCAACACTTGCAAATCACTATAATAGTAGTACTTCTGGTTTTTAATATTAGAGTTACTTAACTAATTTGAATAGATTAAGAAAATTAGTTAAGTTAGTTATTTGTAATAAAAATGAGTAGAATTCTTTAATGTATCCTTTTAATCATGAGTACCTTAGATAGAAACTACTTAATATGTGTAATTAATAAGGATGTTTTAGAAAATAAATTATAAATTTAAGAGACAAAGTGAATTGAGATTTTATATTTAGAATTATGTAAATATGAACCACCTTGTCTAGGGGAGTTTTGAGCATGTAAAAGCCTTAGTGGATTGTCAGATGCATGCTTGATGAATCATGATTCTAAACTCTTAATCATGAGAGTGTTTTTCTGTAAACAATATACTTTTGGTTTATATTATAAGGGGAATTACAATGAGATCTAGGGAAAAAAAAATAATGACTAAAAAGTTTTAATAAAAAGTTTTAGAATAGGAAATAGCAAATTTTTGAAAATTGTTTTGTAATTGTTTTTCTTTCTTAAGACTTTATTGTAATTTTTCCTATATTGTAATGACCTTGGGTTTCATCATGAGATTTTTGTGTGTAAAGCATTAATTTTTTTCCCTTAAATGTCTTTTGCTTTGATGTTTTTTAACCAATTAAACAGCTTATTAATTAAATAGTGAACAATATCTTCTAAGTAATGAAGTTCATTGAGGATAACTTTAAAATTTTAAAAATATTAACTGATATTATTCAATTTCTTAATTTATTTAAAATTTTATGAGTTTTTAGAATAAAAATAGAAGGGAATACATTTGGAGAGTGCCAAACCAAAAAGAGTAATGTATATACTCTCTTCGTCCCCTTTTTAATAAGAAACACTTGATTAAATCACGTAAATAAAAAAAATTAATTGAACTTGATTATGGATCATAAATGTGTAAAACTAGTGAGGTTTTTTTTTTTTATTTCAAAAATATCTTTATTTATGAGGAGGGAGAGTATAAGAGAGAAAATAAAAAATTTTTAAAATAAAAAGAATTAGGGAGAAGAGAGAATGTGTGATGGAGAAAGATGGTAGTTTGGAAAATAAAATAAAACTATATTGAATATTAAAATAAGTAATTGATAGGGACAAAATAACAAATTAGTCAAGAAATTTTGGAGCATCTTGCAAATGTTCTTTATAAATAGGGACAAATAGAAGTACTTGTTTCTTATAAAAAGAAATTGAGGGAGTGATTATGATGCGAACTACCCTAAATACAATCATCTTCTCTTAAATCATTTTCCTTCTTAGGGGGTATTTGGATGAAACCAAACTATGGTTTGGAGAATAGTTTCTAGAGAATAGATTTTTTAAAGAATAGATTTTGTAAAAAAATGAATCTGATAAAATGAGAGTGTTTGGATAATTGTTATTAGAATCACTTTTTATGTACAAATTACTAAAAAGGGTATAAGTTAATATGATAATTACATAAAAGATAGACTTTATAGTATATTTTTTTTAGCAATAAATTTTTAATAATATATTTTTTGCTAACACAATAAATAATATATAAAAAACGTAATTAATAAATAATTAGTATGTATATATGTATTTATAAAATATAAGATTAAATATGTTTTTAAAAAAATAATTTTTTTTGCCAACAGAAAAATA